TTTTATTAGGTGTGGGTTTTTTTGACACCGGGATCTCCTGCACACTGCAAATTAGCAGTGTGGGGAATGCCTGCATGTGCGGTGTGTGCAGTATGCAGGTCTGTGGTACTACATACTGCATGTGTATGCTCTTCTGGATGCACCCACTGACAGTCTGTAGATCAGGTCTTAATGCTGAACAGCAGACACACTAGTTGGGACCAACCTTTTTAGCTGGTGTGCCACAAATTAACCCTGCCCAAATGCCACTCCCATCCCCTTCTCCTGCCTGATCAGACACTTTGCTCTCTACTTCCTGCCCTGTGCTCCCTGTATGATCTGCCACTCTTCTTTCTGCTTCCTGCCCCATTTGCTGCTTTGCTGAATTCTCCTTCCCCTACTTGCTGCATGCTGCATGCACACACACAAAGTCTGCCTGTGCCACTTGTGGCATGCATGCTGCAGGCTGGCTACCCCTGGTTTACACCATAGATATTGTTTTGCATTAGCTCCCAAATCATTTGAAACATGCAAACTTTTCTTATCCTTATCAGATATTAATAATATCAGATTATTTCCAGCATGTCAACTAAGGCCTAGCTCGGCAAACCATTGGGCAATTGTTTAAGTCCCTTGCTATTCATCAGGGTTTGGCTCTAGACATAAGCTGGAGTCCCATTGGAGTCTATATTATATGTAATTTCCTCCAGTGTAGGAGAAGGATCTGTTTTAAAATCTTTCTGGAGGGTCTGAGCATTACAGAAAACCTGTTAAATCTACAGAGACAGACTCTCATCACACAGATCCAAGGAAGCCAAGGAGAATCTGCCCCTTAGATTACCGTGTTCACTTAAAGGACTCCATCCTATTTCCATTTTGCTTACTGGAGTGTTGCCATTCATTTCACCAAGAGCAGGAGCAGGCTAGAAAGACACTCATGATGGAAATGTAATACACATGATTAAAGAATGTAGGTTCACATCTGCATTTTGTCTACATGATAAATGACACTGAATTTTTTTGAGTGTTCATCTGAAATAATCTTTTCATTTGACTATTCCAAAATAAACTTGGCAATTAGTCATCAATAACAACTAAAAGTAGCAAAATGTTCTTTCTTTGATTTCAGACCACCAACATTGCTTTTAATAATTCAAACTGATGCCTTACTCTGAGCTAGTTCCATGCTGACTAAGCTGCTTATTCTTAACCTTGGGGAAAAATTCCCAGTGATCATGTATTTGGGATGCCATCCTTGAACAAATTTCTAAGGCCAATGAAAATACAGGTTTCTAATGGAAAGGAAGATTGAATTGTGCAATAGTCACAAATGTTGAAATATTATCTATAGAGAGCCTTACAGAGGATGTACAACATTTAGGTATGTTTTGACATTTATCTTCATGAATGAGGAAACTATCATTCTCGAGTGGCATAACCAGAAGGGAGTCATTAAGTGTCTCTATCAGTGAAGATAAATGGCATGTTTGACTGAAGAGGTGTTCTTTTTACTCTCCTTATTTCTCTGTGTGATTATCTTTAATGATTCCTCATTGCACTACCTCAGTATAAACGATACTCAGGTTCATACATTCTCATATATTACAGTGATAAATATATTTTAATCTATATACACACAAATTTGAAGATTCTGTTTTAACAGCCAAATATATAACCACTTTTAAATATCTTATTCTTTAAGAAAAATTTTGGAACTATTATTGTTCAGATTTTTCTTGTGTACAGAATGATTCATATTACCTTTCTTGTGCCTGGGTATGAGCTGTTCAGTATGTTCATGCTATTCATTGAGCTGTTTCTATGGTAAGTCAGATAACTGAATTTGAATGGGGGTGTTTAGAAATCTGGCTTTATTTCCAGTCACTTGGAGAAACTAACTATAGCAGGTGAAGTAAAATATAACAAGTAAAGCAAATAGAAATAGATTCTAGAAATCAATGCCATATCAAGCATAATATTCAGAGTTTTTGATAACTTAGCAGCTACCACCTCTTTTAAACAAATCTGAACATAACAGTATATTTTTCATGTACTAGAATGAAACAAGTAAGCGTGTCCATGTACATCGGATAAATCAAATGTTTGGTCAGTGTTTTCATTTGGCTGTTTTTCTCTATCAATTCTCTTAGTTCAACTCTATTTTGAAAGTATGAGAACCAAACAGTTATAACTAAGCATCAAATTTAGATGTGTCATATATTTCCCCATATATTTTATCTATATGAATAGCTTATATAGATGCCTTCACATCCTTCTATTAAATCACTGTTGGCTATTCTGGTTTCTTGAGTGCAAAACACTCTGGTCCCAACTGAGCAAAGCATGCAAGCACATGTTTAACTTTAAATATGTTACTAACCCCATAAGTCCCTTGCTGACTATAAACCATGAACAAGAAAAAGCATTTTTTCTTTTAGCAAGAGGGTTGACATGATTCACAATATCATGTAGCTATAGACAGATGCAGTCTGCTTGATTTAAAATCTACTGACACCAGAACATTCAGAGTTAATGTTCCTAAAGTAATGTTATTGTCACCCATCTGTGAGTCTGGACTTCCTGATAAGTTCCACCTATGCAAATGAGTGGAGAGCTGGTTCTAAGGTCTTTTATTACATTTTTCAGGTAACATTACTACAGGAAATATTCTTAACTCTGCTTAACTCTGTTGTTCTACGTTGTGGTATTTCAGAGGAGTAGGTTCCATCTCCCTTTTATGTTCTTTTTTAAAGGAAAATCTTGATTAAGAACAGCAAATAAGAAAACCTTAAATGTATAGGCTACACCAGGGAACTGATGCTCTGATCCAGCCAAACTAGAGCAAGACCCAATAAGGAGCAAAGGTGGTTTTGTACCTGAGGTCAGCTCAGATCAGCTCAGCTCCCAGAGCAAACTTTCCTAAGGCTGCTTTAACCTGGGCCCAGTTATCAACAGCCCCAAGGACTGTTTCATCCACCTGGGATCTCTGGAGAGTAGTAGTACTCTGCCCTTCGCTCCCTCCTTCCCCCCCATCTTCTGCCTCATCCTGAGCAATTTCTCTGTGCCAGTTCTCTGCTGCTTGGCTACTTTCCCCTATGCCTGAAATCCGTGCAGGCCAGATTCAGGCTAGGAATATTTAGTAGGTTTTGAACTGTTAGAGTGGGACAACTAGGCTGCAGTGGTAGAAAGCCTCAGACTAAAGATTTCTACTTTTACATTTCAATTAAAGTTCAAATAAATACAGTCCTTTAGGCACTTCACCTTGCTCTTTGCATCCCCTCTTTGGCCCACCCTCAAATGTATGCTACTTGTCCTTGTTCTCAAGGCCCCACACAGTGCAGCTACACTCCCTGTATCAGCTCTTATTCATTTTTGAAAGGTTGACTTCTGCCTCAGATTGGGCCATTATTCCAACCCCCATACCCACTTACATGTTTTATCAAACAAGCATCTCTGTGCTTTCTCCTATACCTCATGCTTGTGAGGTGTATATCCATAAAGATACTTCATTTTGTCTGTCTTAAAACTGTCCTTTGGTGTGATACCTGGATAACACTTCAGCTGTTGATCCTGATGGATCATGGCCTATCAAAACCAATGACATCCACATTGTTTCATTGTTGCTTTCCACTCCCCTGTATGTCTGCATCCCTCTGTGATCTTTTGCTTTACACTTGAATTATAAGCTCTTCGGGAATGGGACCATCTAGCACAGTGGGTTCTCAGTGACTAGAGGCTTTACAAGCAATAACAAATGATAAGCAAAGGAGGCAGCAATGTGGGATGCAGACATTGTCATAAACTGTTATTCAATTGTAATAGCCTATTGCTCAGGCTGAAATCCTGGCCCCAATGAAATCAATGGGAGAATTCTCATTGACTTCAATGGAATCAGTTTTCCCTCTTTGAGCAATCTGCTCATTTTTCTTTGTCAGAAACGATCACAACCTCTGCTAAATGTACTGTTTTGGTAGCTCCCTTACCTGTTGTCCAATATATTGGCTTGTCTTATCTTGATTGTCTCATCTTAGACTGTACGTTCTCCAGACTAGGATTTGTCTTACTCTGTACAATGCCACAGATACTTGCAGGACTGTGTACATGATTTATTAATCATGACTGACAACGATAACAGTACATTAATCCTTTTATAAGACCTGTTCTGGAAAGTCACTTCTCTAGTGACAAATCAAAAGGGTTTTGGGGGGAGAGGGGGGAGACGGAGGTTTTTTGCTTTAGATATTTTACCAAGTGAAAAGCAAGCTAATCCTTTAGAAACAGAGTTGTTCAATCTTCATCAAATATCACTTAGGAGTTCAAAAAAATGCTCACTCATGTTTACATCTAGTTTTCTCTGTCTGCAAGCCTTTGCTTCCTCAGTTTATATACTAATTTGAAGAGGAACACTTAGGAAAAGAAAAAAAACGGATCAGAGAAAATTACAAAATGCTTTGAGATGTGAGGATTAAACTAAGCGGAGCTCTGGTGTGAACACAGCTGGATGTTAACTACATTCCCCAGGATTTTTCTTTTTCTGGCTGGATTCTCACTAGAAACTGGCTGCCCCAGTCACAAGAGAATCTCTCTTCCATGTCCTGTTTTCACAAAGGTGCTCAGGAAGTCAGGGGGTGGCTTTTATTCTTAACCAACCCCTCGATCTTCCTGCCCAGTGAAAGAGCCAGATGCTGCCTTCTTTTAAAACCAACCGACTGACTGACCAACCAGTCTCCTCACTGATTTCAAGATGACAAGTCCTGGCCTATCTTTCTCTCAGCAGAATGCACAAGGGACCCAGGAGCTCTTCAGCCCAGAGCTCAGGGGTTCACATCAACTCCACTGGCGTCCATGCAAGAAAAGAAAGGGGTGGGGAGGAGGAGAGGGGCCCCAGAAAAGGCAGGTGCTGCCCCATGCACATCCCACCAGCACAAAGCATCTCCCCCAACAGCATGCGGGGAGGGGGAGGGGG